GCGGTCGTCCAAGCTGCTGCGTGGTGGTGGCTTTCTCGTCCACCCGTCATTTCTTAGGTCGTGTCCTGTGACCTCGGTATCCCGTGGGATCTTCCCGCGCGGTTTTACCATTACTTCTCACGACTTAGGTCCTTTGGGCCGCAAATTCACGAATGAGGAGAATTTGGAAAAGGCGGCAACAGCCAGTGGCTTTCAGCCACTCGTCTAGGCGGTCACGTGCTATTTACCTGTGATTCCCGATGCAACTCAGTTGCACTTCGCATAAAGTAATTTTGGAATTTAGACAAATGACCCTCCTAACCCTTCTGTTCACAGAAAGGCTCGTACCGAAACTAAACCGATGCTTGAATTAAAGTTAGTATATCCCTTTGAACGGGGGAAAGGGCACTCATACAAACATCAAGTCAAAGAGCGCTAAAGGTGAGATCTTCAGCTTTAGTGGATAGGCTATGTAGCATTATGCTACATCCAGTCTGGAGGGGTTAAACCTGGACAACACGCATGTGCCTCACTTGAGCAAAAGAAAAAATGACGGCAGTTTCATGTTGTTGGACCGATCTCAGTCAATCAACAGGCGACAGCTACAATCTTATTTATACAGTTTCTAGAACCTGGATAATATGTATGCGCACTAGCTGCAAAAATTCGCAAGTGACAGAGTCCAGAAGCTGTCGGCCGCCACAGTAAGCACAATTGTCAATGTCTAAAGATGTTTTTAGATGTATCGTTCTCCAACGTCAACCACGTGAATGAAAAAATGTGGGCTTTCACAAGACTAAGTGCGATACAGCAAGAGTGGTCAGGGAACACGGTAAGATTGATAAATATTTGGTGATTCTTGTGTTATAGTTACATTTTTTGGTTCTTAATTATGTTTGGCTAGTGTCTGTATTATTGCGGTAGAGGTTGTATCACAAGTAAATGGAATAATGGAAACTGTTTCCTACCCAACACTATCAAATGCTAGAATTCTTCTTTAACCCTTTCGCAGTGCGAGGGCGCATTTTTCGCCTTTAAACACCTTTTACAAAACAAGGTGGGAAATCGTACTCTAAAAGGGCGTTTTTTTTTGCCCTTTTAGCTTTTTCTTCAGCTCTGCATACCGTGTTTTGTTATTACCAATCACAGCACTGAATGCAGTTAGGATAGGGGTAATTTTTGATCCGCCTCGTATTTTATTGCTCCAACGAGCGTAAGCGGCCCTATGTAAGTGGTCGTACCATCAAGGAAGCTGCCTATTACACGACAGCCAGTCACCAGACCATACAAACGGTAAGACAAATGCATACCTCCAACCTTCCATTTTGCTTTAGTGTACTCAAGACTAATGCACACAAGTTTCACAGACGCAGAAGACAAGCTGCTGGTGCAGATTGCGTTCCAGTTCGAGAAGGAGGGCTTACGCGTCACATGGGACTACGTAGCCCGCCAAATGAAGACCAAGCGGTCCGCCCGCCAGCTGCGGCTTCGGTTAGCCAGCCTAAAAAGGACGTACGGGAAGGCAATTAGTGGTTTCCCGCCATGTTTTCTTCGCGGCATGTCTTCAAGACGTCTTCTCGGAGCACCACCACAACCACCACCACTCGTATTGCAACGACCGGTACGACCAGCCTGCCGACCTCCAGCTACTCCGTCGAGTGCTAAAGGTCCCTACGGTGATCACCACGCGCCAGGTTCGTCTTCTTTAAGGAGACGTTATTTTGTGCCGTTTGTGAGACTGACGTTGCGCTTGTTGGGTAGGTGATGACATATCTGCGAGTGCCACGAGTGGCAAAGAGGTGCCGGATAGCAAGGAGAAAGAAATCCAAGGTCGCTGTGATCAGGGTGGAGGTGGCTGTATTGTGCGAACTTGTGGTCATCCACTGGTGGCTATAGCGAAAAGCGTTTCTGGTGAGCTTCAAATTCTCTGTGATATATTTACGTTTACAATACTAACTAAGGTATTTGTGGCACAGGAACTGACTTCAGATCTTGTGGAGATAATGTCCAAGCTGCTGAAGCTGTTGATATCATTTTTGGAAGTATCAGTGCTCATGACGTCCGCCAACCCGCTGGCCGCACTTATGACAATGCGGGTGAGGTGGTACCGTCTGGTGTTACTCTCCTACTTGCAGCCGTTGGCCTAATCGATGAAGCGGACGTATTTCTCGACGTTGGGG